TTTTTTTTTTTTTTTTTTTTTTTTTTTACGGAAATCTAAAAAATTTGTATATATATATTTTTTAAATTAAAAAAAAAAAGGAATCTAGATAAGAGTGGGTACGAATGGAAAACGAAAAGAACGGTGTCGTTTTGGACTCGTGTAGACAGCATCTTCCGCACGCCTCGGGTTCCCAGCTCAACATCTCTCCTGCCTCTGCCACAATTGTTGAGTTTCAATCCATTTTTGGAATCCCACACTTTTCTTCTTTGCTTTCCCCACTCGCCATCATCGCGCGTCCTTTACACGTTCCTGTTTCCCACCCTACTTTTTACACCATTTTCAAAAATCAAGAAAATTAATTTTTTTTTAAATAAATAAATTCACTTAAAATTTATATATATATATTTTTTCACAAATAAATTACAAAAAAAAAAATTATGTGAATTTTTAAAAATAGATTAAGAAAAGAGATGTTATTAAATATGATATAAAATTTCATATTTATTTTCGTAGATATATTATATATTTTTTAAATTTACGAATCTATTAATTCTTTCGAAATTGAAAATGCATATGCGTTGCAATTTTTTTATATTACAATTTTCAAGTTGTGTTAAAAATAATCGAGAAAGTTTATTTTTTTAAATTAACTCAAATGGTAGATTTTGGTTTCTTATTTTATTGGTTAAACTTTTGAAAATAACCATTTTTTTTTATCACTATTTTGTTCTAAATTGTTATATAAATAGATGGTATGATTTCAAATATCTCTATTAATCTACGTTTTCGAAGTATTCTAATAATAAAATATTAATTAACGTTTCAAAAGTTGATGGTTCGATTTTCTGTCATGTCATTCTTAATCTAAGGAAAAAAAAACGACAAGCATGGTATCAAATATTAAGGCTAAGCCAGGACTTGTTTGATATTATAGAAGGTCTACCACTCCTAATTAAAAATGACGTGAAGATTCTTTAAAGTTGATGAAGACAAAATGGATTTAAATTATTCGGAGATTCAAAGTTTTCTTTTATTCCTTTTAGAAGATCAATTCAGAAATCTTTAATAAAGCTACATGTCAATTGTAACGTGAATGGATAAATCTTTTGGAGGAAGGAAGGAATCTAATACCATAAATAAGTTCAAATTATTTAGACGTATTACGAGAGTAAAATGGATTTTGGATTCAATTGTAACTACTAATAACTCGACTTGACTTGTTTGTAATGATTATATGAATGGATAAAAATTGTAACTCTAGTCTGGTATAGAATGACATATAGTTAATAAATAAAAATTAATTAATAATTAATTACATCCCTTCATAACTCACAATAATTTAATTAATTTTCTCCAAATTAATATTTAATATATTAAATATATCGAAAGTAAAATACATTTACGGTATTTTATTCATTAAATATTAAAATAATTAATATTAAATACATTAAATTTAAATATATATATATATATAGTGATTCAAATTAATTAAATATATATTAGATTGTCCTATAATATTTTAAAATAATTTAAATGAGATACTATATTTTAAATTTATCATATATGAGATATTCAAATATATTATTTAATAACTATTTTTCAAAAATTCCAACAAATAGAATTTTGGGTGGAGACAAAAGACAACTTAGTTCTCTCACTTTCTTTCGACAATGAAACTCTATCATCGTAAGAATTCTAACTCACTTCGAGATTCCCACAAGTCTTGCTCAGTATTCAAATCATAGCAAAAAAAGATGTCTCGTGTAATGGAAGAACTTCTGCATGGTTGGAATATTTCAGGTAAATTTGCATGTTGCGGTTTCTACAAATGTAAAGTTCTTCCTCTCGTATTTATTATTTTTTAATTTTTAAAAAAAAAAAAATAGAACGAGTGAAACTATATATTTTTTGGTAAAGGAAAAACCCACAACTTGAGCATAGGTTTAGGAATAGGCACAATATTCCCTTAGAAATTTGAAGGAAAAAAAAAAAAAAAAAACACAAAGAACAAAAGAAGAATCTTACAAGTAAGTTGTAAAGGTCTAAAATATTATAGTCAATTACCAAAATGGGTCGTAAACAGAAATTATAGTTTATTTGGGGTTGGAATCTCAATAAATTTTGGTCTCAAAATGGTAAATTCCACTATGGTGGGCTGCATAATAAAGAACAATTTAATTTACATTTATTTTATAAAAAAAAAAAAGAAATTTAAGGAATTCAAATATATTAGGTGAAAGTTGTCATTCATGTCTTGTTTCACAACATTGACCAGAATTTAGTGCCTGTTTTTTGGTTCAAAAGTCCGGTTTACCTCAGATTCCTTCCTTTCCCAATTCCAATATAAATTAAATAATAATTTCCTATCGTATATTTATTTATTTAGTCACATTCAAAATACATTAAAAATATTCTAAATTTGAGTGGTAACGAGTCAAAGCCACCTAGACACCTAGATCATTACAATATCGAAAAGATAACCCGTTCAACCTTATAAAATTTAAAGTTTGTTTAGTTTGTCGAGTTATTTAATTTATGTACTTCAATAATTTGTATTTAGAGCGTTCAATTAAGAAAGATTGTATTTTTTATATATAAAAGTGTTTAATATATTTGAGGTACAGAGTTATGTATGAATTTTTTTTAATATTATATATAAAAAAATTTCAAAATATAAGTAATAAAGATTTGTTCCCATAAAAAAAATATTTTTTCATTCCCATTTTATATATTTTTAGTAAAATTTAATTGTTTTAAAACATATAATTTATTTGGGATATTTGTTGAAATATTTTGTTTAAAAAATTAATTACACAATAATATTTAATGTTTTTTAATTAATTTTATTTTTTTTCTAAAATATTTTCCTAAACCATCTTCCTTTCTAATTTTAACTTAAAATACATATTTATTAAATTATAATTTTAAAAATAATAAAATATATAAAAAAAAAAACGCGACGACAGGAGAGTGGGTTGAAGCAGGGGAGTCGCTCGAATCTCCGTCTAAAATCGGCGATGCCTTTTGTGCATCGCAAGGCAGAATCTCCGCGTCTTATTCTCATTTTCTTTGTTCTTCTTCTTCTATTCACACTCTTCTCTTTCTTCCCCCTTTTTCCTGAAGAACCCCATTAACTAAACCCTTCACTAATTTCATCCTCTCCATCCAAGATCTGGGTCTCAATCGGATAATTAAGAAATGCCTTCTGTTTCGCCTAAATTCACCTGGGATTTTCGTCCCAAAACCGTCTCTGATTTCCTTCATCAGATTTCCCTGCTTGCCAATGCTTCTGACCGTGTCTCCAGGCTCGGTGATTTCATCAACAGCTTGGAGGAGGAAATGAAGAAGATCGATGCCTTTAAGCGCGAGCTCCCCTTCTGTATGCTTCTATTGAACGATGGTGAGTTTTTGGTGTTTTTGGACCTTTCATTTCATTCTGAGTCGTGGGTTTTTGGATTTCATTTCATTGGTTTTTGTTTTTGGGGTTGATTTTTTCTTTGCTTGCTTCTTCTTGTTGTTGTTGTTTTTGGGTGATTCTGGATTTAGCTTTCTTTTCTCTATGTTTTGTAGCAATCCTTGCTTTGAAAGGCTCTTCTCTGCAATGTGTTTCTTCTTCTTGTTCTTCCCCAAAGGCCAAACCAGTTCTGGAGGAGTTCATTTCATTGAACAAGGATTCCCCTAATGACAATGAGAAGAAACAGGATTGTAGAGATAAGAAGGAATGGATGAGCTCTGTTCAGCTATGGAACTCTGATGACCTCCAAAACACTCAAACCAAAACCAAGGTACATAAACATGGACTGAATTTGATGCATTGTTGGGAGGTTGTTTTGAAACTGTGATCCATTCAATTAGGGGTAGTATTCAGCGTTTTCTTTGTTTTTGTTTGTGGTAGAGAAACGAGGGGTGTGGGTATTTAGCTACTGCTGCAGAGGATAGGTTTCCACCATGTAGAAACAAGAACGAGGAGAGATTATTTGTTGGGTTCAAGTCATCTTCTTCTGCTTTTCCAGCCATGGCTGCTGTGAACAAGCAAGAGAAGATGGAGTCTCCCATGTGTGCACTTTCTTTGGTCACTCCCAGTTTGAAGAATCCTAAACAAGAATTGGGTTCCTGTGTTTTGGGGTCGAGTGGCAACCGAGCGACTTTGCCGTCTGCTCCCGATGCTCTGTCGAATCTACGCACGGTGTTGTCACCACAGCATCAGCAGCCTGCCCGGAAGCAGAGGAGGTGCTGGTCTCCGGAGTTGCATCGACGATTCGTGAATGCCTTGCAGCAACTTGGAGGTTCACAAGGTGAGAACCATCCATGAGATCAAGAAAGACTTGTCTTGCTTTACATGTTTGAATCAAATGCAAGTTTCTGTTGGTTCCTCATATGAGCAACTAGCTTAAACTAGATGATGAACATTTCTCTTGAACTGTTGTTGGATCATTTTCTGTGTCGATGAAACGAGAACAGATTAACCGTCTCTAACTCGGGGTTTTTGATCAAATGCAGTTGCAACGCCGAAGCAAATAAGAGAGATGATGCAGGTAGATGGCCTGACCAATGATGAAGTAAAAAGTCATTTACAAGTAAGGTTCCAAAAACATTCCCATCTGCAACTCATTATCCTAAAATCTCGATGATAACGAGAACAATCGGTTGCTTGTCAATGCAGAAATACCGTCTTCATACACGACGACTTCCCTCGACTCCAGCTACCAGAGCAGCAGACCGATCTCCAGTCGTTCTAGGAGATTTATGGACATCCCAAGATGGGTGTGGTGAGTCCTCAAAAGTGAGCAGCTCCCAGTCAGCCTCACCACAAGGTCCATTCCAGTTGGCTGGAAACGGAGGGTATTCAACGACGGGAGGCGACAGTATGGAGGACGAGGAAGATACAAAATCCGAAAGCTACGAGTACTTGAAAACCGAGGCTCACACGAGCAAAAGATGATGTATAAAATACAACAACACATTGAAGTTTATCAATCACAGAAGGATTGTTGTACACAAAGTACATAAAAGAGGAGAAAAGAAGATGGAGAGGCTGTGAATTATTTTTGCAGAATTAGTTTTATTTTTTTTAGATCTTGTTTGTATTGATAAAGAAGATTGTTATTTAGGCTGCATTTTTGGGTCATTTTCAGCTCAACGAACTGATCTACCGATACACGAAAGATTCAAAATCGACACACGACCAATTAGAACGGGTAGCACAAATCGAACTCGAAATGGTCAAAATAGTATTAGATTGAGATTATGATTTGGTTGATCTCATGATGGTTTGTACTGTAATTTGTTTGCCCAAAGGTGAGCAAAAAGTTGCCACTTTTTTAATCATAAAAAAGGGGGAAAAAACAACATTATTAATGTTCCATGTGATTAGGAAACTAGTATTCAATGCTCCATGTGATTGTAATGAGACGGATTTTAAACCGAATTAAAAACATAAACGACATTGTCAAATCAATTTAAAGAGCTACGTTCCATTGCGTTCCATTACTAAGAAAAAGATGAGTGTATTTACAACAGAGATTACAGATCGAGTATGTACAACATCAAATTCAAAAACACACGGTTCGTGTATTCACGAAACAAAAGTAGACCGTCGATGATTAAATTAATTTTCGATACTTATTCATTGAACCTCGACCTAACTTTATTTTCAAAACGTACACCTAATATTTGTAATGAGAGGAATTTGAAAAACCAATTGAGGATAGGTAGAAGATTTGATGTTGATAGGACAAGATCCGAAGTTATCATGTGAAGAATACAATAGAAATATTTGAAAATAATGTTTTTTTTTTCCAAATTTTTTTTCATAATTATCCCTAACATTAAAATAAATATTAATTTTTAAAAAGAGTTTAAATATTTCTTAAAATATGCCTTTTATAAAATAATTATTAAACTAATTATTTTTTAAATACTAATTTTAGTATTTATTAAAGGTTTAAAAGTATTTATTTGTCTTACAAAAAACTCATTTTTACATTTCCTTTCTATTTATTTATTTTACTTTTATAATAATTTGACATTTGATGGACTTCCAAAAATTAAATTGGGAACAAAAGCTACTTTTCATTTTCCTCATTCAACAACCTATAATAATTGTTAGTGTGCTTTTTTTTTTTAATTAAAAAAAAGTTGTGCGCGTGACAATCGTGCTTAGCGATCCAATTCTAAATGATTAAATTTCGATAAATGACATAAAACGTTAATTATCATCTCAAAGGTCTGTAATTCAATCTCTTCACTCTCTGGACTCAGAAATCTTGTGAGTTAGAGTTTGAATTTTTTATATGTTACTCTAGAATTGATTACTCGCAAGATTCGTTAAGAACTTGATTTCATCCAAGTTTGAGTATGAATATGTTTATCTATAGATGATTGAAAATTATAAGAAAAATACTTGGATGAAAATGGATTGAAACTCAACTAATTTGGAGAAGAAACGGAGTTGATTTGAGTTTTGTGCAAAAAGATACAAAAATGTAAAGAAATTAGTTTGAAATTAAAAACATAATGAGAATTTGGGTTTTTTTTTTTTTCAACTTTGAAGGTAAGAGACATTGAATATTAGAGTGACACACGTTGGTGAGAAACGGGAAAAACGTGTGCAGATGAGCACAAGAAACACGTTGTTCGTAGGGAGGAGCAACTTGTCTGGCACCGACTAGGGACCTGCCTCTAGTTAATTCGACTCGTCTGACTCGCGTCCAACCCAAAACCTGTGCGCGTGAACTAAGTGACCTTGTGTCTGAACAGAAAACTTGACCTGACTTGACCCAACCCATAAAACCAGTCTGTTAACCCGTGCTTGAGTCTTCCTTAGAGTGTGTGGGTGGCACATTTATCGCATGTGAGTTACCTTTTCCTTGTCATTGAATTTGAGTTTGCCTCTTCTTTGTCTCTATTTTAATAATAATCCTATGTTTGTCTGAATTAGGTTTTGAGAATGTTTGCTTAATCCACTACACCTAAATGATATGAAATTTATCTTATTTATAATCAAATAAATTACAAGGATATGGAAAGAGTAATAAACACAAATAACAATAAAGGAAAAGATACTTATGATAAGAAGACAAATATCTAGATATTTGCTTTATAATAAAATATCAAATATGATATATATGGTAACCTATAAGTTAATATTAAATATTCTTAACACCCCCCGCAAGCTGAACGTCGGATTTGAATGAACGTGAAGCTTGGATATGAAAAATTCAAAAAGAGGTCGAGAATCATTTTTAGTGAAGATTTCAACAACCTGGTTTGGAGGTGTAGAAAAATATTTTCTTGACCTTCGAAAACTACAGAGGGATAGCCGCTCAGCGGCGATGCTGCCTAGGCTTCAGCGAGAATATGTCTAACCCATGAAGAGGGATCGTCGCTCAGCGACGATGCTGCCTTGGCTCCAGTGATAATATTTCTAACCCAAGAAGTAGAAGGGGGAAACCTAGAGCAAGAGACAAAGACAATGTTGAAGCGGATAGAGTCGCCACAGTGGGCGAAGAAGCCAATTTTAGGTCTAACTGTTGTGTTGGAAAAGGTGAGGTTGTATGTACAGAATATGGCTGTAACGACCCAGATCCACCGCTAGCAGATATTGTCCTCTTTGGGCTTTCCCTTTCAGGCTTCCCCTCAAGGCTTTAAAACGCGTCTACTAGGGGAAGGTTTCCACACCCTTATAAATGGTGGTTTGTTCTCCTCCCCAACCAATGTGGAACATCATAATCCACCCCTCTTCGGGGCCCAGTGTCCTCGCTGGCACTCTTTCCTTCCTCCAATCGATGTGGGACTGCCCCCAAATCCACCCCCCTTTGGGGCCCAGCGTCCTTACTGGCACACCGCCTCGTGTCTACCCCCTTCGGGGAACAGCGAGAAGACTGACACATCGTCTAGTGTCTAGTTCTGATACCATTTGTAACGACCCAGATCCACCGTTAGCAGATATTGTCCTCTTTGGGCTTTCCCTTTCGGGCTTCCTTTCAAGGCTTTAAAACGCGTCTACGAGGGGAAGGTTTCCACACCTTTATAAATGGTGGTTTGTTCTCCTCCCCAACCAATGTGGGACATCACAATTCACCCCCTTTCGGGCTCTAATACCATTTGTAACAATCCAGATCCTCCGCTAGCAGATATTGTCCTTTTTGGGCTCTCTTTCGAACTTCCCCTCAAGGCTTTAAAACACGTCTACCAGATAAGTCACTACCCGGTATTTAGGAAGAAATACTTGTAGGATTCGCTTGGATTGCATGCATGCTTGTAATTTTGTTTCAGATTAGCTCTCCATGTAAAATATTAGCTAGATTGATTCCTATGAGTGTATTGGGTGAATTATCTGAGTGTTGCTTGTATGCTTTAAGCTTCCGCCGTAAGTATGCACGCGTTTAATTTATGTTGGAATTGTGTATTCCGTGTTTCGGGTGCTTGATGGATGAATTCGCCCCATTGAGCGCGAACTTCGTGCTCTGGGTGCTTGATGGAGATCATCACCCCGTTGAGCCGGTATGCCTAGTTTGCATGAATTATATATTTTGATGTTAGAAGACGGTTGCATGCACACTCTGTTAATTGCTATGACCCATTTCTATGATAAGCTTAGGGGATTACTGTTAGGAGCGATATGTCGCTCTAGCCAGACTTAACTTTCCCCTAGGAACTTAGCGGTTTACCACGGCAACAAGGTACCTCAGGAGTGTTCATAAATTGCTAGTGTGAGAACGGTATCTATAGCTTCTTGGGAGGACCAAGGGTCCCTGATTAGTCCTTACTACTCTTAGCCATTTCACATGGGAAATGTGTCCCCATGTCATACAGCCCATTAGCTGCATGGGAACGGGTTGGGTCGCTCTCCCCATAGGGGGACTATATGGGCGTAGGGGTATTCAGCACGCCCTTAGGCTAGATACCATGTAGTCCCAGATAGCCATGTAGAGGTAGCACCTCATAGAGAAATACTGACCATATTAGCTTGGCGTAAGGAACCTCTAGGCGTTTAATGAAAGGACGATGAATCGGTGAAACCCAAGAGGCAATCTCCAAGGAACCAAGATTAGAACCAGATGTCCTAGAACCGAATTAGGAAACCGTGGGAACCTGTTAAATTAAGATGCGAAGAGAGCCTACAGGTAGGTGGCTTACTGAGTATAATTTTTATACTCATCCTTGCTATGTTTTCCCTTTTTCAGGAGCGCGAGGCATCGGTCAAGGGCGGGCGTGATGGAGAAGGGGATTGTCACAGAGGAACGGGTTGTCCTGGGGCGTCAGTCCAGTCTTTATTTTGTATTTGCATTCTTTCGAAATTTATTTCCAAACTGTCATGTGTTCTGTTGTTTGTCGTTCAAAAACTTTATTGGAATTTAAGGTTTTTCTTTATTTCATATTTAAATCACTTTGTATATTCGTGTGTTGTTGTAAGTCACGGTCCGTAGTAAAATATTGGGTCGTGACAATAGTGAAGGATGATTTGGAGGTCGAAAGGGTGGAGCCGAAGAGTAATCAATCGGCTCCACATGTTGCAGCCATAGAGACTGCTCCTGAGGCGTCAAAACTAGCAGTGGTGATGAGGAAGAACAATAGAGGATTCAAAAGCCATTGAAAAGAAAGGATCGTGGTTGCTAAATCGAAAGGGCTCTAATACCATGAGAATGTTTGCTTAATCCATCCCACCTAAATGGTGTGAAATTTATCTTATTTATAATCAAATAAATTACAAGGATATGGGAAGGGTAATAAACACAAATAACAATAAATGAAAAGATACTATGGTAAGAAGACAAATATTTAGATATTTGTCTTATAATAAAATATCAAATATGATATATACGGTAAACTATAATTTAGTATTAATATCAACAGGTTTCTCTAAAGAAATTCTAAATTAAGTAGCATTTAGATTCTCCTTGAATAATATTTGTAGGTAAACATAATTATGCTAGAAATGAGGATGAAAATTTTGTGATTTGTCGTCCATGTGTTTAATGGATGTTATTGTTTCATGAAGCATGTGTGACTCTTTGCATTAATTAATATACATTAACTCTAAATGATTGAATGTATGTTCTCCTTGTAGAGTGTAAGTAATAGTTAAGAGATAAGACTAAGGTGTTAGAGACAGATTGTCTAGACGATGACCTAGGACAAGACACCTCTAGTAGTTCAAGCACCTTAGGATCA